TCTAGTAATTATTTAAGATGGTCTATACGTTATTTAAGGTATTTCATAAACTTGACATAAGATGTTTTATGAAAATATAAAATGTCTTAGAAACATATTTAAAATCTTATATATTCCTATTCAATACGAGATTAACATTGCAAATCGAATAAGTGATAAATTGGCTTGCCATACATACTGTATGCGTCAACCCTTCAAAATTATTATTAAGTCTAACGACAGTTTCGACAATATCTTACACAACAGTCATCTACTGAAAACAGAAAACGAATCTCTGAGAACATAATATTTGAAATTGATATATAATTGATAAATCTTGCTATAATTGTTTGGACTGCCAACTGTTAACAAAGAGTTAAATCATCTTATTTTTGTGTTAAATTAGCTTAAAGGCTACTATTTGCATGAAATCAATATACATTATCTAAATAGATAGGTAATATGTTGATAATGACAACATATGAAAGCCATACCTCCATATCAATCTATGTACTCTCTAAATTAAATAAATCTTTTCTTTTTTACGTTTCTCTTTCCAGATAGATCGCTCATAAACAAACAGCCATTGTATCATCATTTTACACACGTTTGTCAAAAGTTCTTCTTTCGTCATCAAGATATAAGTTCATTTTGAATACGGGATCACATTGTTCTTGGATATTTCGTGTTCCAAACACTAGGAACCTTGTGAGTCGAGCCTGAGAATAACAAACATATTTGAGTTAGCAATTTGTATTATTCTTACTTACACAAGCAAGAGTAGCAGGATATGTACATGTAGTAACCAACGGTATTACTATATATCAGGAATTTTTCGCTTACTTAGTAATCAAATATTCGTCCTTCACTGTGAAAAACCTGTATAACCTATTTTTACTTCGCCCTTAGCATATATTCACTATATATTGGCTGTTGTTTGATCAAATTTAATGTCCTGATAAATGCGCCCTTATCAAGGGAAGGTGAAAAGAAGGTGAATGTAAACTGCGAAGAATTTATCCGGGTATACAGATAACAAAAGTGAGCAAAAGCTACATGTACGTACTTAATATTTGGTGATACACTTGCGGTAGCCCTTCGTCACAAATGTACAATGTATGAGACATATTGCCATATTGAAGTATGCAACATAAACGTGCTTTATTTCTAGACAATGGCCCCTTTGGCTTAATGTATCATGATATTTATTACATACACATGACTTTTTTCAAATACAATATAATTATAACAATAGCAAAATGAAGTTGAAAATGAGGTGATCGCACGCATCATCCGTTCCTTACTCTCATCAATTGGATTTCTATGATATCTCATTCTTTTTACTTCTCTGTTTCACTTTCTAAAGAGAAAACTGTAGAACTATTTCTTTGTGATGTGTTGAAACGATTGTCACCTGATTTAGGGAATAAAGACTAATTAAGCATTGAACTGTTTTTGTATGGTATCTATGATCTATTTGAATGACACAGCTTTGCAAGCAAACAACATAATGCGCGCTGGCGCATTATGATTTGTTTGCTTGCAAAGCTGGGTCATTCAAATAGATCATAAATACCATACAAAAACAGTTAAATACTTATATTTACGTTTTCTCTGCCTCTTATGTTCTTTTTTAACTAATAATTTATAATTAAAATTAAAAATGCCCGCCTTATCGACAGTCCACACAATTTCGTTCAATAGTTTGAACAGCGTATTGTCGCGTGCTGATTGGCAAACAAACTAGTACTTTGACATTTTAACAAACACTTCAAATTCATTCCACAATTTAGTATCAATACAATTGCGTATGATATGTCTATAGGGTGATTCCAGTTTTTCAATAGAAATCTGAGCTGAAAGTTAGATTTGAAATTGTTTCGATTTTCCCCCGGAACAAATTTCGCGCATGGATAAATACAGTGAACACCGTGAATGGGACCTTGACCTCCACTAGGGAGTTATTTATGGAAGTTAATTCGAACTTTTCTCTTTGCTCATTTTGTGAAGAATCCAGGCGTGAATGTATTTGTTGATTGTATGGGAACCCGACAACAGTCGGTAGATTCTATAACAGCATCGTTATTTGACATGTCGTCTGAAACTGAGGAACCGTGGATCCGAGACGCGTGAAACTGATAGCGTTTGAAGTGAGTGATCTTGCGACGGAGCACAGGTTCGTTACAAATGTCTGAAATGACGAATGTTTATGTGTGCTGTGACTCATATCAGTAGGTCTGTAACATATGTGTCAGTAGGTCTATAGAATATGTGTATTTCAGACATTTATAACGAACCCCTGTTGATCAGTGCAGTGTAACAGACGATATTTCTGATAAATTGCATGAGCGTTAAAATTGTTTCCATTGCCGGCATTGGTGATTTCAATCGATGAGCATTTTGTACGATATTGCAGACCTTGGTCTTGTTTTCGTTGTAATAAAAGTGTTTTTTATTTTATTTTTTATTTTGCACATAAATTTACAATGACATTATCAAATCTCACAATGCCCAGCGATATTTCAGCAGCCGTCATGTTTATTTACATTGGATATTGTAGTTCCGGTCAGTGTTGTTATTAATACGCTAAGAATTGTTTCTCGTGCGGGATGGTAATTATGTCTCGTGCGGCATGGTAATTAAAGTCCGATCAACGACACAGCTTTCAAAGAGGCTATATAGTGACAATGCCATGCAAATGTAAATATAGAGTTTTTAGTAGATGTACATTATCTATGTATATCGTTATCCAGGTATCAAACGGATTCCTCACTTTTTACAAAACTACTTGAAATTCACAAATTAAAGGAATTTACGTTCCTCTCTGTCCTTTTCAGCATAACTTTTAAGACAATGTGGATTTCCATTTATACTTCTCTTCTTGACGATTTGTTGTTTCATATGAAGCTGGATCTATTATTGAGCTTATCAGGACTGGTAGCAAAAACCTAGACAAATCCTTCAATAATTATATTGACGACGTGCTGTCTTTAAATAACAACGGTTTACTAACCACATCGAACGTATATATCCTCCTGAGCTTGAAATCAGGGACACTACCGCCTTTCAGCCTCCCTCGATCTTTACTTACAACATGACCAATGTGGACAACTTACTACTCAGCTGTACGATAACCGGACTAGTTCGACCTTCCAGTCGTGATCTTTCGCTTCCCGAAAAGTGTACAAGGTTTAGGGTCGTTATCATGTTTGTGTAATATCAAGGCTCATGTTTT